CAAAGAGCCGCAGTTTCATCCAGTCAACTGTCTGGTTCGACAACCGCAGGTATGGAAGCAACAGGTTAATACTGCAGTTCGTTCCAGATACACAGCATTTACTGCGCAGGTCTTCTCATGCAGATTCAAGATAGCATAAAAATAGAGTAGAATAATACTTTATTGTTAATTTTGTGAGAAATTGACATTTGTCTTCTCCTTATCTCAACCCAGTTATGATAATAGACCTGCCAATATTTAAACAGTTATCATTTAGACATATAACAGCAATTTATGACATGTCTTACAGTAATTTAGTTCTACACTGTAACAGAAAACTGTCATTTGTAGCTGTCAAATTCATGGTAACCCCTTTACGGTGTAGGTAGGTTTTATAACTGCCAATTGTGATTGTCTAACCGTGCTCTTTGCGTCTGTATTCTCCAGGTGACAGCCGAGTCGCGCTGTAAGCTGGTCAGCTGGCTTATCCCCGTACACCGATACCTGTGTCTGTCCTTCGAGTGTTGCTGCCTGGCGGTCAACATCATGGACCGCTTCCTAGCTTCCACGTCCGTGGCTGCTGACTGCTTCCAGCTGCTGGGAGTCACCGCCCTGCTGCTCGCCTGTAAACAGGTGCGTATGATACATGTGTGTCGACTATTCAGGGAGGGAGTCAACTAATCGATCCGTTTTGATGCTCTGGGCGTAGGACGAATTGTGTTTTAGGGAAAGTCTGTAAATGAAGAGTTTCTTTTCCAAAACGCTATATATCCATTTTCAGAAATGTGTGTAAATTAGCATTTATTGTTTAAAGAACTTATGAGGGAGATTGGTGTGTTTTTTCACTACTCATGACATGAGGTTGTTCAGTGACTGTTTTTTTTGCATAACACTGTACTGTATATCCGCCTCACTGTCTTAAGAGTTTGCTCCTAATCTCAGCTCCTTACCTGTATAAAAGACACCTGGGAGCCAGAAATCTTTCTGATTGAGTGGGGGTCAAATACTTATTTCCCTCATTAAAATGCAAATCAATTCATAACATTTTTGACATGCGTTTTTCTGGATTTTTGTTGTTGTTATTCTGTCTCTCACTGTTCAAATAAACCCACCATTAAAATTATAGACTGATCATTTCTTTGTCAGTGGGCAAACGTACAAAATCAGCAGGCGATGATTGTATATCCGCCTCACTCTCAGAGAAAAAAGTAGAACTGCTAGGCTTTACACAGTCAAACGGAACAAATAACTAAATGTTTACTAAAGAACTGTACAAATTATACATTTGTGACATCAACATTTAAAGTTTATTTTTAATGAGTGCATACGGTAATATGAGATCTGTATGTAAAATATTTTCATTTAACATTTTAGTCGTTTAGCAGATGCTGTTATCCAGAGACAACCACATATCACAGTCAAATAGACAACCACATATCACAGTCAAATAGACAACCACATATCACAGTCAAATATACAACCACATATCACAGTCAAATATACAACCACATATCACAGTCAAATATACAACCACATATCACAGTCAAATATACAACCACATATCACAGTCAAATATACAACCACATATCACAGTCAAATATACAACCACATATCACAGTCAAATATACAGAATACGAATATTCCATTCCAGCTAAACAATGATATAGCGTTTAGCAAAAAATACACACCTAAAATCTATTAATAAAAAATCTGAAAACAGTAATATTTTACACTCACATAAAGATGCCCATAAACAATCATTTCTGGTGAAGAAACACAAATGTGACAAATTGATAGAGATAGCGTTTTGGAAATAAACCCTTCATATTATGGTGCGCGTGTGACTTGGTCTCTTTCTCTCTGTTCCCCTTTCTAATTCTATTCAGGTGGAGGTGTTTTGTCCACGGATCAGCCAGCTCCTGTCTCTGTGTTGTGACGCCTTCTCCAGGGAGCAGCTCTGTAACCTGGAATGTCTCATCCTGCTCCGCCTCAACTTCCGCCTAGCTGCACCAACCATAGCCTTCTTCCTGGACTTCTACACCAATCACAGCCAGGCTGGCCGGCATATGGGCGGGGACGGAGTCAGCAACGTTACCCATAGGCTGGCTGGGGATAAGGGTGAGGAAGTGAAGAGGCGAAACAGGGGCAGCGGATTGGCTCTTAGGGTGTGTGAGCTCACTCTGGCCGACTACGCCTTCAATAAGTACACACCTTCCCTGACCGCCTGCTGTGCTCTGGCTCTAGCCAATCAACTGCTGAGAACCAGCCAGGGCCCAGATGAGCCAGCCAATCAGCTGCTGAGGATCAACCCTGAGGGCCCTGAGGAAGAGCCAATGGACCAATCCCTGACATCGGAGCTCACATATGGCCACGCCTCCTCGCAAGAGGACCAACAGGGACAACGCTGCTTATCTGAGAATGATCCTGTCCACTCAGAGAATGACCATTCCCATCAAACCTTGCCTGAGACTAGTAATCACGCTTGTATTGACAATGACTCCTCTCTTTCAGTTGTTGGTCACCTCCTATCTGTGAATGACTCCACCCAGTCAATGGATGACCCTTCCCCATCTGGGAACACCTCAGCCCTGGTTGAGGGAGACCAGACCCATGCTCCTCTCGCCCAGGAGTGTAGAGAGGCAGACCAGACTCATGCTCTCTACCTGGAGTGTAGAGAGGGAGACCAGACTCATGCTCTCTACCTGGAATGTTTAGACAACCTTAGATTGCTGGTGTCACTCAACCAGGATGCACTGCAGGCCATGATAACTCTGTGACAACATGATGACGGTTGACACGTTTTACCTATCTCAGTTGAATGCACTGTTGTTGAATGCACCTACAGTATGTGACTGAAAACGACCTGCGTACCTCAAGAAATGAAAGGCCAAATCTTTGATTTCCAGTCAACAGCGCTGCTACCCCTGCACTTGTGGGGTTGGTGCTTGGCAATGTAACTGTTACAGACTTATTTAAATGATTTAACTTCTGCAAATGACAGTTATCAGATTGTGCCTACAAACTGTGAACAATGTCAATGGACAGCATTGGCATTGTATTGTATTATAATCAACGTACTGATACTATAGAGTACTGTATGTAGACGATGTTTGTATTGTATTATAATCAAAGTACCGTTACTATAGAGTACTGTATGTAGACGATGTTTGTATTGTATTATAATTAACGTACTGTTACTATAGAGTACTGTATGTAGATGATGTTTTGACCAATATACTGTGGTCTCTATTTATACTGCATTAGGTTCTGTAACTTATTGAAGTCATTGTACTGTAAGATACATTGAGTGGGTAACCTTCTGTAGCTGTTTCTCCAACTGTCCTGAGATTGTACTGATCCTGGATGCTATGTTGGCCAATGTTACATGGACCATTCTTGTACCAACTGTCCTGAGATTGTACTGATCCTGGATGCTATGTTGGCCAATGTTACATGGACCATTCTTGTACCAACTGTCCTGAGATTGTACTGATCCTGGATGCTATGTTGGCCAATGTTACATGGACCATTCTTGTACCAACTGTCCTGAGATTGTACTGATCCTGGATGCTATGTTGGCCAATGTTACATGGACCATTCTTGTACCAACTGTCCTGAGATTGTACTGATCCTGGATGCTATGTTGGTCAATGTTACATGGACCATTCTTGTACCAACTGTCCTGAGATTGTACTGATCCTGGATGCTATGTTGGCCAATGTTACATGGACCATTCTTGTACCAACTGTCCTGAGATTGTACTGATCCTGGATGCTATGTTGGCCAATGTTGGACCATTCTTGTACCAACTGTCCTGAGATTGTACTGATCCTGGATGCTATGTTGGCCAATGCAACATGGAACGTTATTGTATGCAATAAACAGTGAAGTGACATACCTTTTCAGCAAATGTGATGAAAACATATTAAATTATTACTTGATAAATGTACTGGATATGTTTTCTGACTTGTTCACTCATTTAAACGTATAAAACCAAGAGAGGAGTGTGGATCTTTTATATCTGTTGAGAGGGTGGTGTGTGGGGAATGTATCCCAAGAAGATTGATTGTTCATCACGGTCAAATCAGCTCAGTCGGATAATCTGCTGCTACCACAAGTAATACATAATAAAGCCTATCAATGATACAGCAAGCCACGATTTTACCAGAACTATGGCCCACTGGGCCCACATTGGTTGAATCAACATTGTTTCCACGTTATTCCAATGCAATTGGCTGCCAATCGAATAGATTATGTCAGGGCATGTAGCCTATAGCTTTGCTTTAGCTAACGGTTAAATGTGTATTGGTAGGCCTATTTTGGTCGTCACTTCCTCATGTTAAGCTTAACATTTCACAAAGCTATAAATGGTGTCTGCTGGCTTTAAAAAAATACACAACTGTCCTGTATAGCCTACCTGATGCTACATGACATGAGCCGTCCTCGCGCTCTCTCCCAGCTTGGATGGAAAGTTGTTGTGCGTAAAACCAGTCTATTAATGCCAAATAATACAGTCAGTCCACCCTCAAAACACCAGCTTACTGGGGATTGTTTCATTATGCAGTGTAGCCTACTGTCTATAGCTATAGACAGTATTTAACTGCTTTTTCGCTGCTATTTATAAACTTTGTATAAACACTACAACAGCCTAACAATTAGGAAAAATATAATCGGCTTGAGGATGAATTCTGCCACTATTTAGGTTAATTGCCTACACAAATGGGCTGCAATATTCAAGGTAAATTTACTTAAATCAAATGAAATTCAACCCAACTTGAGACTGCTCTGGTCTCCTGAAGTCCTCCATGCTGATTCTCTCTCTCTGTCTCTCTCTCTTAGAAAACAGTCTCTCTGTCTGTGCTTGTCTCTCTCTTAGAAAACAGTCTCTCTGTGTCTGTGCTTGTCTCTCTCTCTCTTGTTCTACGTAGAGGCCTATAGCTGCAGTATACGACTGCGTTGTCTTGCATTTTTGTGCGCAAATGTTTTCACCACAGCCTGTAGCTGCACAACATTTTTACCTGAATGATGCATGCCAAGATATACCAGAGATAAGTTACTGTTGATATTACTACCACACAACTCAAACACCGGTTCACCAGTACGAACGAAATCGCAAAACCGCTTTTTCTGTTCAAGCCCTCAATAACAGTTGTCAGCTAAATATGACAATCTGTTTGCATCTGCCAATTTATTGACTGTCCAGTATCCAGACGACCTGTCCCCAGAGCTTCCTATACCGTTAATATTTTTCCATAAGGTGTTGAGGCCGGCAATTAAGGAGAATGAGAGGCTCAATTAAAGATGTTAGGCTACAGAACTGCAGTATTTGAAGCATCACTCCCTTCTGGACAGTTTCCCTGATGTTGCTACGGCAATCAAGCAGTGTTTACCATCCCTGTAACTGTCGCTTTCGCGGAGAGATGGTTCTCTAAACAAAAACTCATAAAGAAACATAGAAGCATTAGGCTCTAGGTCTGATGAGCGCTTTTGAACACCAGAGTAAGCTCCACTCATTGCACTGGCGCGGTCATAGCCTTGACCACTGCATTTGTTAACCGATATATCCCCTTACTTTCAATCAGTATCTTTTTCCCCAAAGGCCAGAGACAGTTTTTCAGTCACATTCCTGAAGCCCAAGAAACAAAACACTTAGCTTCCTAGTAAATATGGAAATTAAAAAGGTTTCTGAATGACTTTTTGGAGGGTTAATGTCAAAACTGTTTATCCCATAGGGCGGCGCACAATTGGCCCAGCATCGTCCGGGTTTGGCCGGTGTAGGCCGTCATTGTAAATAAGAATTTGTTCTTAACTGACTTGCCTAGTTAAATAAAGGTAAAAAAAAAAAAAAAAAAGTTACACTGATATAATTAATTGTTCGTTTCCTATTTTATTTCCGCCTGTCATGTTGATGTTGATTAGGCTACGGCATATCAGGAGATTATACTTTTTACACACAGACATGCTTATAGTTTTCCTACTAGCCTACATCGTGTCCATCTTTCAAGATCAGGAATGATTTTCCTCGGATAGCCGGTTAGCCTAAATCACATTTTAAATAGGCCTACCAAAATAAACCCAAGTCTCTGAATTTTTCCCGATAATGCTTGGATAACGGCGAACCATGGGCATGAGCCATCAGTTAAGCATGTTTGAATCTGGAGATGGAAAGGCGCTAAGCCCGTGAGTCTCTTGCTGAAGGCATCTGTTGGCAACGGGTCGGTGGTCTCCAAGCAGGATAGCTAGCTTTACGCGCGTCTGCGCCCTGCTGAATGCACTCTGAGCCCGCGGTAAAGTAGGCGCCGCCTCTCGCAGAACCATTTTCCACTGAGCCTAAAAACCGTTAGCTCTACACCTGTTAAATCTCCGGGGAAGCCACGTGCCCCTAGAGACCATGAAATGGTTTGATTGGACCACAGACTTTAGACGGCGGCATGGAATGGTATAAACCGGGAGAATACGGGATATAAATACCTATCTCAACTAGAATCTCAGTGGGTCTTGGCCTGATAATTTTGCATGAGTGACAACAACTACAGTTGGCTATAGTTGTTATATAGGCTATCAGTATAGAATCTTGGTCTGGTGAGTCTTGGTCAAATTCTGGGCTACTACGGACATAAATCTGTGTCCATCTGAAGCTGAATCTAAAGGAGAATGCATGGAGACAGAAAAGTGTTCGGGACCATCTGTCCAAACACAGTGGCACCTCATCAGAACCAAGACAGAAGACACCCAGCAGCTAAAAAGGTACAGAGACGATTAACCCTGCACGGCTATGGTACATCTGCTGGTCAATACTCATTTTACCAGTGGTGGAAAAAGTACTCAATTGTCATACTTGAGTAAAAGTAAAGATACCTTAATAGAAAATGACTCAAGTAAAAGTGAAAGTCACCCAGTAAAATACTACTTGAGTAAAAGTCTAAAAGTATTTGGTTTTAAATATACTTAAGTATCAAAAGTAGCCTAAATGTAATTGCTAAAATATAGGCCTACTTAAGTATCAAAAGTAAAAGGATAAATAATTTCGAATTCCTTATATTAAGCAAACCAGACGGAACAATTTTCTTGTTTTATTAATATACAGATAGCCAGGGGCACACTCCAACACTCAGACATCATTTACAAACGAAGCATTTGTGTTTAGTGAGTCCACCAGATCAGAGGCAGTAGGGATGACCAGGGATGTTCTCTTGATAAGTGTGTGAATTAGACCATTTTCCTGCCCTGCTAAGCATTCAAAATGTAACATACTTTTGGGTGTCAGGGAAAATGTATGGAGTAAAAAGTACATTATTGTGTTTAGGAGTGTAGTGAAGTAAAAGTAAAAGTGGTAAAAGTTATAAATATTAAAGTAAAGTACAGATACAAAAAAAAAAAACTACTTAAGGAGTACTTTCAAGTATTTTTACTTAAGTACTTAACAGCGCTGCATTTTATACATGACGCATGGATGGCAATTTATGCATTGTTTGTATGTAGGCCTATCTAATGTTATTAAAGACATTGCGAAACTAATGTTTCTTATCCACAGGGCAGACCGAGGCTCCCCAGGAGTAGCAGCCCGGTCGCAGTGTATGTGGACCGGAATCCCTGCATCGTTGAAGATGGTAGGTGGACCATGGGCATATTGCTCAGACTATATGCACGTTCTTTACATTGTTTTGTCTAATATACAAATTCAGAGTATAATGTGTCATAAATTAATATATATTTTTGTCATTTCTATTTGGTTATGTTTTGTAGCATTCGCAACGATAGCATGGGATGACTTGGAGGAATGCGCGTCCGTGATGAGGCGCGAGAGCGACTCCCTGGGTTTCCAGGTAAAATTACACCCACACACACACACGCACAAACACACACACACACACACACACACACACACACACACACACAACACACACACACACACACACATACACACACACACACACACACACACACACAACATACACACACACAGAGAGAGAGAGAGGTGAGAGAGGAGGTGAGAGTGAGACGCCCCCCTTGCGTGAGAGAGTGAGAGAAGAGAGAGAGAGGAGAGCGAGAGAGAGAGACAGGAGAGAGAGAGAGAGAGCGAGAGAGAGAGGAGAGAGGAGAGAGCGAGAGAGAGAGAGAGAGAGAGAATGAAAGATGCACATACACACCGACAAGTTGCACGGTAGAGGATTAACCGTTTCCATGGTGATATGATAGCTCCATACTACACCAGTCACCCGCTCACCGGCGGCCTGTTAATATTTGACAGACAGGTTAGCAGTGGAGCGTGCTGAAATCTCGCGCCAATGACGGTGTAGTTGGCTCGTGCCACGCACCTATAGAAAAACACTCCATAGTCGACAACCTGCCTACCAAAGCTAGTCCTAACAAACTCATTTTCAACACCTACACAGCAACATGAGCACCCAGACATGCGCCTCAATATATTTACCGTGCTGGGATTTCAGTTGGGATTTCCAGGTAACCGCGCTCCTTCTTGTTAATTTGAGTATGCTATAACCTCTAGAATCTAGCCTGTGCAATTTCAGCTTGTTCGGTGTGAATGAGGCTATACGCTTTGTGTGTGTGTATCCAACAGGTGAACGACTCTGACGGAGACGACCAGGAATTCGGTGAATATGCCCTGGACTTCATAGCTGGTAAGAACATTGATTCAAATCATTCAGAGGAACAACAAAGTATAGCCTAATCGTTGTGATCTGTATTGATGATTGATGAGGAGGCTAGGATATAGATTGCGAATTATGTTTTAGGTAAATATAGAGTCCTCTTCAATGTTGTTTTGATTTATTTAGATCAATAGATACATTGATTTATTAGGTACATGCCCTGAAGAAAAATTGTGTGCTTGCTTCACCTGTGTAATTTTTTTTATTTTTTATTATATTAAGCTCCTCTCCCATTCTCGCATATATTATATTAAGCTCCTCTCCCATTCTCCCATATATTATATTAAGCTCCTCTCCCATTCTCCCATATATTATATTAAGCTCCTCTCCCATTCTCCCATATATTATATTAAGCTCCTCTCCCTTTCTCCCATGTATTATATTAAGCTCCTCCCCATTCTCCCATATATTATATTAAGCTCCTCTCCCATTCTCGCATATATTATATTAAGCTCCTCTCCCATTCTCAATCAATCAATCAATTTTATTTTATATAGCCCTTCTTACATCAGCTAATATCTCGAAGTGCTGTACAGAAACCCAGCCTAAAACCCCAAACAGCTAGTAATGCAGGTGTAGAAGCACGGTGGCTAGGAAAAACTCCCTAGAAAGGCAAAACCTAGGAAGAAACCTAGAGAGGAACCAGGCTATGAGGGGTGGCCAGTCCTCTTCTGGCTGTGCCGGGTGGAGATTATAACAGAACCATGCCAAGATGTTCAAAAATGTTCATAAGTGACAAGCATGGTCAAATAATAATCAGGAATAAATCTCAGTTGGCTTTTCATAGCCGATCATTAGAGTTTAAAACAGCAGGTCTGGGACAGGTAGGGGTTCCATAACCGCAGGCAGAACAGTTTAAACTGGAATAGCAGCAAGGCCAGGCGGACTGGGGATAGCAAGGAGTCACCACGGCCGGTAGTCCCGACGTATGGTCCTAGGGCTCAGGTCTCTCAGTTGGCTTTTCATAGCCGATCATTTAGAGTTGAAAACAGCAGGTCTGGGACAGGTAGGGGTTTCGTAGCCGCAGGCAGAACAGTTGAAACTGGAATAGCAGCAAGGCCAGGCGGACTGGGGGCAGCAGGGTGTCATCATGCCCGGTAGTCCTGACGTATGGTCCTAGGGCTCAGGTTCTCAGAGAGAAAGAGAGAACGAGAGAATTAGAGAGAGCATACTTAAATTCACACAGGACACTGGATAAGACAGGAGAAGTACTCCAGGTATAACCAACTAACCCAAATGAAAATCTCCTATTCTCCCATGTAGACTCTCCAGCCACATTGGAGCGCAGTCTGTCTCCAGCCGATCTGGTGGCCTTCCAAGGGTGTATCATCCCTCCTCTCACCCCCCAGCGGGAGCCCTCTCCAGAGGGCCAGGACCAGCAGGGCTACCCTTCCTCAGACCCAGGCCTCGGCCAGCATCAGGCCCAGGATGGGATACTCTGGAGGGGCATTGCTCAGCACCACACCAGGGTCCTGGGACACACACTGGAGACCAACAGCCAGGTACAGACAGACAGGCAGGCAGGCAGGAAGACAGCTGTTTCATTTTTACGTTTGAGTCCTTTAGCAGACGCTCTTATCCAAAGCGACTTACAGTTAATGCATTCATCCTAAGATAGCTAGGTGAGACAACCACATAACTCAATCATAGTCAACTTCCTTAAAGTAGTTATCAGGCAGGCAGGCAGGCACACAGCCCTTGTGTGACAAGGCGTGCAGGAAGAAGTTTATCTGAATCTGCGGTTAATTGGCATGTGTCTCGATGTAGACTCACTGGGTGTGCTGTCATGTTTACACAACAGATGTTCTACAGAAAGATAGTTTCCTGTTTGCTGCTCTTAGTAGTCAACAGCGAGCACACATTACCTTTTTTATTTCTGCAACGTTCTTCTTTGCTGTCAAACTCCTGTGGAAGGTTAGATGTGATTAAAACACTGTCACTCTGTTTTCATCATTTCAGTAACATATTCTGTCCTCTTGTCTTTCCCCAGCTTCACCTGACCGTGAGCAGGAGACAGGAGGAGATTAATGCTCTGCAGCAACGCAATGTCCACCTCAGAGAACTGGCCATCAGAGCTAAACACCTAGCCTCTGTACTGGATGTAAGTCAGGAGACTGGAAACACACACGTGCGCGGACACACATTCACATGAATAAACACACCAGATGATCACTCAACTACATAAAACTATAGTACCTGGTTGCAACCAAATCTCTCTCTCTCTCTCTCTGTCTCTCACTGTCTCTCTCTCAGAAGCTGATGATGGTGAATGAACCGTCATGTTTTCGACAACCCCCAACTTCCCCCTGTGACGAACCCCCCATGTCAACGATCCCATGTAAGAGGCAGCGTCTGGACAACACCTGTGACGACACATCGCCCCCTGGGTGTGTGGAAGACATCCTACGGGATGTCAGCGAGCGCTGCAACACCGTCCTGCACCACAGCACCGCTCAACCACCTCGTCCCCAGGATAGGGACCCAGAGAGAATACTGATGTTTGGGGTGTTCTCTGGACTGCAGACATCCAGGACCACAGGTGGCCCTGTGGTGAGCATGGAGGGCGCAGAGGCAGGAGAGAGCAGTAGTGACTCGTCTTTCAGGACTTCAATTAGAGAACACTGTACGATCAGGACTCAGACCTTCCCTCACGGACATGCCTTCACCTCCAGGACGACCCAGGGAGGGTACCGCTTCCGCTGGGTTCCCAGACAGAGCTAGCCCTTACATTTTACATTTTAGTCATTTAGCAGACGCTCTTATCCAGAGCGACTTACAGTTAGTGAGTGCATACATCATTTTTTTTTATACTGGCCCCCCATGGGAATCAAACCCACAACCCTGGCGTTGCAAATGCCATGCTCTTCCAAATGAGCTACATCCCTGCCAGCCATTCCCTCCCCTACCCTGGACGACGCTGGGCCAATTGTGCGCCGCCCCATGCGTCTCCCGGTCGCGGCCGGCTACGACAGAGCCTGGATTCGAACCAGGATCTCTAGTGGCACAGCTAGCACTGCGATGCAGTGCCTTAGACCACTGCGCCACTCGGGATAGCAGCACTGGGTTCCCAGACAGAGCTGGCCCTTAGCAGCACTGGGTTCCCAGACAGAGCTAGCCCTTAGCAGCACTGGGTTCCCAGACAGAGCTAGCCCTTAGCAGCACTGGGTTCCCAGACAGAGCTAGCCCTTAGCAGCACTGGGTTCCCAGACAGAGCTAGCCCTTAGCAGCACTGGGTTCCCAGCCAGAGCTAGCCCTTAGCATTACCCTGCTAATTAGCATTAGCACTGAGCTAGAGCGATGTTGAACATGTTATCAGAGGCTGTAGTAGGTGCTGCTGTTATTAGACTGCTAGCTTCGACTAAATACTACCTACACTATATATAAGGACCCATACACAAAAAAAAATGTATGCACGCATGACTGTAAGTCGCTTTGGATAAAAGCGTCTGCTAAATGGCATATTATATTATTATTATTATAAGTATGTTGTCACCCCTTCATTAGTGGATTCGGCTATTTCAGCCACATCCATTGCTGACAGGTGTATAAAATCGAGCACACAGCCATGCAATCTCCATAGACAAACATTGGCAGTAGAATGGCCCGTACTGAAGAGCTCAGTGACTTTCAACGTGGCACCGTCATAGGATGCCACCTTTCCAACAAGTCAGTTCATAACATTTCTGCCCCGCTAGAGCTGCCCCGGTCAACTGTAAGTGCTGTTATTGTGAAGTGGAAACGTCTAGGAGCAACAACGGCTCAGCCGTGAAGTGGTAGGCCACACAAGCTCACAGAACGTGACCGCCGAGTGCTGAAGCGCCTAGCGCGTAAAAATCTTGGTTGCAACACTCACTACTGAGTTCCAAACTGCCTCTGGAAGCAACGTTAGCACAACAACTATTCGTCAGGAGCTTCATGAAATGGGTTTCCATGGCCGAGCAGCCACGCACAAGCCTAAGATCACCATGCAACAATGCCAAGCGTCGGCTGGAGTGGTGTAAAGCTCGCCGCTATTGGACTCTGGAGCAGTGGAAATGCATTCTCTGGAGTGATGAATCAAGCTTCATCATCTGGCAGTCTGATAGATTAATCTGGGTTTAGCGGATGCCAGGAAAACGCTACCTGCTCCAATGAATAGTGCCAACTGTAAAGTTTGGTGGAGGAGGAGTAATGATCTGGGGCTGTTTTTCATGGTTCGGGCTAGGCCCCTTAGTTCCAATGAAGGGAAATCTTAACGCTACATCATACACTGACATTCTAGACGATTATGTGCTTCCAACTTTGGGGCAACAGATTGGGGAAGGCCCTTTCCTGTTTCAGCATGACAATGCCTCGTGCACAAAGCGAAGTCCATACAGAAATGGTTTGTCGAGATCGGTGTGGAAGAACTTGACTGGCCTGCACAGAGCCCTGACCTCAACCCCATCAAACACCTTTGGGATGAATTGGAACGCCGACAGCGAGCAAGGCCTAATCGCCCAACATCAGTGCTCAACCTCACTAATGCTATTATGGCTGAATGGAAGCAAGTCCCCGCAGCAATTTTCCAACATCTAGTGGAAAGCCTTCCCAGAAGAGTGGAAGCTGTTATAGCAGCAAAGGGGGGACCAACTCCATATTAATGCCCATGATTTTGGAATTAGATGTCCACGAGCAGGTGTCCACATACTTTTGGTAATGTAGTGTATATCTCAGGGTTGGCCAACCCTCCTTATCTGAGCAGTACGCTGCCTACATGCTCAGATAATTCAACATTGTAAATCACTTTGTGTGTGTGTACAGCAAGCCAAAAGCTTTTGGCACTGGCAGTATATTCTTTAATCAGTGCATTGATCTAAGTATGGTCAATTCATTTTTCTAACTACCGTGGTCAACCAACAAATCAACAAATCAACAAACCAACAAATCAACAAATCAAGTAGAATGGTTGTCTATAGGCCCAATGGTACCGTCCGCCTCAGGTATCCTAGCACGGTGAGCTAATTAGCCTTGGCTAACTAAATATACTTCCGGAGCAATTTGTTTACACTGTGTTTTTGTTTATTCTATCTTTCTGTTGGCGTTGCTCCGTGCGCGTGTTGAAACTCCTCAGGGATCCAGGTGGACAACGGAACACCTCACCCACACACCTTACCCAATGTCTAAATACGCACGTTGTCAGTTTGTTGTATGTAATAAAGATGATATTTTGAATAAATGTTGTCATATACATAATGATTTCTGTATAGATTAAAGGGGCACTCTGCATTTGCTTCATCCATTAATGAAATGTACCCATTTGATTCTTGAAGAATATAACTTATAAATGCCACAGTTCATCTGTCATACTCCCATCAGAACCCAAAATAGAAGCTTGTTTCTCTCCAATGTTTATAAACAAAGTAAATGTAAACAAACACTGTATAGCCTCAAAACATGGTTAAAACTATCATCTTGATATCATGGATGGTCAGTCCTTGCATCCATAGCTCTGTCTATGAATTTGAGAGTGGTTACATTTCTCCAGCCCCATCCCTCTGCTTTGTACCTAAACAGGGGTAGGAAGGACGTTTTGTTACTGTTTCAACTGCTTATTGACGTTTAAATTAGGATTTAAGGGATACCAAAGGTAAAGGAATGGAAGTAAAGGAATAGAAAGTAACAGTTTATTTTTATGTTTGTTTGGGGCTTTCCTTTCCATGTTTCAGGAGCAAAACCAAAGTGACCCCAGTGACCCTTGACCTGTAGGTCCTTCCTCTTCATTTGTTCTGTCTGTCTGTGTTGTGGTGTGGTCTTGAAAGGGTCAAGACTTTTCATTTTCTTGCCCTCCTCCACTAGTTCATGGTGTAGTCGCTTGGGATGAGCCTTGTCTTGAGTTGTGAATCTGTAAAGCCTTGATTCCATGCATCCTCTCTTCAACACACCTTCTCAACACATCAGCAGGATGAGGGAGGGTGAGGGAGAATGAGGGAGGGTGAAGGGAGGGTGAGGGAGTGTGAAGGGGGGGTGAAGGGAGGGTGAAGGGGAGGGTGAGGGAGGGTGAATGGAGGGTGAGGGAGGGGTGAAGGGAGGGTGGAGGGAGGGTGAAGGGAGGGTGAGGGAGGGGTGAAGGGAGGGTTGAATGAGGGGTTGAGGGATGGAAGGGAGGGTGAAGGGGAGGGTGAGGGGGTCTGAGGGGAAGGAATGAGGGAGGGTGAAGGGAGGGTGAGGGAGGGTGAGGGAGAATGGAGGGGGGTGGAAGGGAGGGTGAAGGAGGGTGAGGGAGGGTGAAGGGAGGGTGAAGGGAGGGTGAGGGAGGGTGAATGGAGGGTGAGGGAGGGTGAAGGGGGGTGAGGGAGGGTGAAGGGAGGGTGAGGGAGGGTGAAGGGAGGGTGAGGGAGGGTGGGAAAGGGGGGGTGAGGGAGGGTGAGGAGGGTGAAGGGGAAGGGAGGTGAGGGAGGGTGAAGGGAGGGTGAGGGAGGGGTGAAGGGAGGGTGAGGGAGGGTGAGGGGATGAGGGGGGGTGAAGGGAGGGTGAAGGAGGGTGAAGGGAGGGTTGAGGGTGAAGGGAGGGTGAAGGGAGGGTGAAGGAGGGTGAGGGAGGGTGAAGGGAGGGTGAGGGAGGGTGAGGGAGAATGAGGGAGGGTGAAGGGAGGGTGAGGGAGGGTGAGGGAGAATGAGGGAGGGGTGAAGGGAGGGTGAAGGAGGGTGAGGGAGGGTGTGAAGGGAGGGTGAAGGAGGGTGAGGGAGGGTGAAGGGAGGGTTGAAGGGAGGGTGAGGGAGGGTGAAGGGGGGGTGAAGGGAGGGTGAGGGAGGGTGAGGGAGGGTGAATGGAGGGTGAGGGAGGGATGAAGGGAGGGTGAGGGAGGGTGAGGGAGGGGTGAGGGAGGTTGTGGGTGGGTGAAGGGGGGGTGAAGGGAGGGTGAGGGGGGGTGAAGGGAGGTGGGGAGGGTGAAGGGAGGGTGAAGGGAGGGTGAAGGGGAGGGTGAGAGAGGGTGAGGGAGGTTGAGGGAGGTTTAAGGGAGGTGTGGGTGGGTGATGAGGGAGGGTGAGGGAGGGTTGTGGGTGGGTTTAAGGGAGGGTGAGGGAGGGTGGAGGGGGGTGGGAAGGGAGGGTGAAGAGAGGGGAGGGAGGTTGTGGGGGGTTAAAGGGAGGGTGAAGGGAGGGTGAGGGAAGTGTGGGTGGGTGAAGGGAGGGTGAGGGAGGGGTGAAGGGAGGGTGAGGGAGGGTGAGGGGAGGGTGAAGGGAGGGTGAGGGAGGTTGTGGGTGGGTGAAGGGAGGGTGAAGGGAGGGTGAGGGAGGTTGAGGGAGGTTGTGGGTGGGTGAAGGGAGGGTGAAGAGAGGGTGAGGGAGGTGTGGGTGGGTTAAAGGGAGGGTGAAGGGAGGGTGAGGGAAGTTGGGGTGGGTGAAGGGAGGGGTGAGGGAGGGTGAAGGGAGGGTGAGGGACGTTGTGGGTGGGTGGAAGGAGGGGTGAGGGAGGGTGAAGGGAGGGTTGAGGGAGGGTGAGGGAGGGAGGGTTGAAGGGAGGGTGAGGGAGGTTGTGGGGTGGGTGAAGGGAGGGTGAAGGGGGGTGAGGGAGGTTGAGGGAGGTTTGTGGGGGGGTGAAGGGAGGGTGAAGAGAGGGTGAGGAGGTTGTGGGTGGGTTGAAGGGAGGGTGAAGAGAGGGTGAGGGAGGTTGTGGGTGGGGTAAAGGGAGGGTGAAGGGAGGGTGAGGGAAGTTGTGGGTGGGTGGGGTGAAGGGAGGGTGAAGGGAGGGGTGTGAAGAGAGGGTGAGGGAGGTTGTGGGTGGGTGAAGGGAGGGTGAAGAGAGGGTGAGGGAGGTTGTGGGTGGGGTGAAGGGAGGGTGATTGAAGAGAGGGGTGAGGGAGGTTGTGGGTGGTAAAGGGAGGGTGGGGAAGTTGTGGGTGGGGTTGAAGGAGGGTGAGGGGGGGTGAAGGGAGGGTGAGGGACGTTGTGGGTGGGTAAAGGGAGGGTGAAGGGAGGGTGAGGGAAGTTGTGGGTGGGGTGAAGGGAGGGTGAGGGAGGGTGAAGGGAGGGTGAGGGACGTTGGGGTGGTGGGTGAAGGGAGGTGTGAAGGGAGGGTGAGGGAGGTTGAGGGAGGTTGTGGGTGGGTGAAGGGAGGGTGAAGGGAGGGTTGAGGGAGGTTGTGGGTGGGTGAAGGGAGGGTGAAGGGAGGGTGAGGGAGGTTGTGGGTGGGTGAAGGGAGGGTGAGGGAGGGTGAAGGGAGGGTGAGGAGGTGAGGGAGGTTGTTGGTGGGTGAAGGGAGGGTGAAGAGAGAGTGAAGGGAGGATGAATGGAGGGTGAAGGGAGGGTGAAGGGAGGGTGAGGGAAGGTGAAGGGAGGGTGAAGGAAAGGGTGAGGGAGGTTGTGTGTGGGTGAAGGGAGGGTGAGGGAGGAAGGTGGTGTGTGGGTGAAGGGAGGGTGAGGCTGTCCAGAGGTGAACGTCAGACCACACTAGGACACCTGTTCAAACTCCTCAGCCATGAGGTATGTTTGTCTAAGGCCTCTGGAAACAAGACATGAGCAGGGTAGAGTTCCAGGACTGCTGCTGGAGGAAGGTTTGTTTGAGGAGGATTTAACCGCCTGAGGGAAGGCGTGAGGAAAGGAGGAGATAAGATATAGAGAACTGAGACCTGGAAACCACCATCTCTGCTAACTGGATTCATGCAGTGGTGTGGAAACATGAAAACAATCAGGTGCTGGAAGGACCCCTCTTCAAAAAAGTGGTTTAACAAGACACAAAATAGACAATGTTTCAATTGTTTTCAAACGGTTGTACCAGGTGCTTTGAAGTGGGCCGAGAGAGTACAGCACTACTTGGACGAGGGAGGCACGGAGGACATAAGAGGAGACATACTTAGTCTGAGACCTGACAATCACTGCACTGCATAGGCCTTAATCGACCAGCTAAATGGATTCATGCAGTGTTGTGACTGGAACAAAGAAACACTTAGAGTCCCGTAGGACTCCTGTTGAATTGATATTTCCAGTTCCTCACTTCCTCTGTTCCTCAGTTCCATTTCTGTTTTTTGGAGGTCATCAAACATTTTAGACCATCTCACAGCTGACCTTGATAACGTTCATCTCAGCCTAACAACGGGCCTAACAACAGCCTCTTCCCAACAACTGGCCTAACAACAGCCTAACAACTGGCCTAACAACAGCCTCTTTGTGTGTGTCTGCTTCCTGAATCATCAAACATTACAACATTTATCAGTGATGTCTTGCGTACCATTGGACACACGCAGGCACCCATCTCAAAGTTTTACGGTACAGTGCCTTGCAAAAGTATTCATCCCCCTTGGCGTTTTTCCTATTTTGTTGCATAACAACCTGTAATTTAAATTGATTTTTTTATTTTGGAATTCATGTAATGGACATACACAAAATAGTCCAAATTGGTGAAGTTAAATTAAAAAATGACATGTTTCAAAAAATTCAATAAATAAATAAAGGAAAAGTGGTGCGTGCATATGTATTCACCCCCTTTGCTATGAAGCCCCTAAATAAATTCTGGTGCAACCAATTACCTTCAGAAGTCACATAATTAGTTAAATAAAGTCCACCTGTGTGCAATCTAAGTGTCACATGATCTGTCACATGATCTCAGTTGAGGATGGAAGTTCACATACACCTTAGCCAAATACATTTAAACTCAATTTTTCAAATTCCTGACATTTCATCCAAGTAAAAATTCCCTGTCTTAGGTCAGTTAGGATCACCACTTTATTTTAAGAATGTGAAATGTCAGAATAATACTAGAGAGAATTATTTATTTCAGCTTTTATTTCTTTCATCACATTCCCAGTGGGTCAGAAGTTTTTGGTAGCATTGCCTTTAAATTGTTTAACTTGGGTCAAACGTTTCGGGTAGCCTTCCACAAGCTTCCCACAATAAGTTGGGTGAATTTTGGCCCATTCCTCCTGACAGAGCTGGTGTAACTGAGTCAGGTTTGTAGGCCTCCTTGCTCGCACACGCTTTTTCAGTTCTGCCCACACATTTTCTATAGGATTGAGGTCAGGGCTGTGTGATGGCAACTCCAATACCTTGACTTTGTTGACCAGAGGACATTTCTCCAAAAAGTATGATCTTTGTCCACATGTGCAGTTGCAAACCGCAGTCTGGCTTTCTTATGGCGGTTTTGGAGCAGTGACTTCTTCCTTGCTGAGTGGCCTTTCAGGTTATGTCAATATAGGACTCGTTTTACTGTGAATATAGATACTTTTGTACCTGTTTACCCCAGCATCCTCCACAAGGTCCTTTGCTGTTGTTCTGGGATTGATTTGCACTTTTCGCACCAAAGTACGTTAATCTCTAGGAGACAGAACACGTCTCCTTCCTGAGAGGTATGACGGCTTCTTGGTCCCATGGTGTTTATACTTGCGTGCTATTGTTTGTACAGATGAACGTCGTACCTTCAGGCATTTGGATATTGCTCCCAAGGATGAACCAGACTTGTGGAGGTCTACAATTTTCTTTCTGAGGTCTTGGCTGATTTCTTTTGATTTTCCCATGATGTCAAATAAAGAGGCACTGAGTTTGAAGGTAGGCCTTGAAATACATCCACAGGTACACCTCCAATTGTCTCAAATGATATCAATTAGCCTATCAGAAGCTTCTAAAACCATGACATCATTTTCTGGAATTTTCCAAGCTGTTTAAAGGCACAGTCAACTTAGTGTATGAAAACTTCTGACCCACTGGAATTGTGATAAAGTGAATTATAAGTGAAATAAACAATTGTTGGAAAAATTACTTGTGTCATGAACAAAGTAGATGTCCTAACTGACTTGCTAAAACTATAGTTTGTTAACAAGAAATGTGTGAAGTGGTTGAAAAAAACGAGTTTTAATGACTCCAACGTAAGTGTATGTAAACTTCCGACTTCAACTGTATACACCTGTTCTGAAAGGCCCCAGAGTCTGCAACACCACTAAACAAGGGGCACCACCAAGAAAGTGGCACCATGAAGACCAAGGAGCTCTCCAAACAGGTCAGGGACAAAGTTGTGGAGAAGTACAGATCAGGGTTGGGTTATAAAAACATATCCAACACTTTGAACATCCCATGGAGCACCATTAAATCCATTATGAAAAAATGGAAAGAATATGGCACCACAACAAACCTGCCAAGAGAGGGCTGCCCACCAAAACTCATGGACCAGCGAAGGAGGGCATTAATCAGAGAGGCAACAAAGAGACCAAAGATAACCCTGAAGGAGCTGCAAAGCCATTTTTGGCCATCAAGGAAAACGCTATGTCTGGCGCAAACCCAACACCTCTCATCACCCCGAGAACACCATCCCCACAGTGAAGCATGGTGGTGGCAGCATCATGCTGTGGGATGTTTTTCATCTGCAGGGACTGGGAAACTGGTCAGAATTGAAGGAATGATGGATGGCGCTAAATACAGGGATATTCTTGAGGGAAACCTGTTTCAGTCTTCCAGAGATTTGAGACTGGGACGGAGGTTTACCTTCCAGCAGGACAATGACCCTAAGCATACTGCTAAAGCAACACTCAAGTGGTTTAAGGGGAAACATTTAAATGATTTGTAATGGCCTAGTCAAAGCCCAGACCTCGATCAAATTGAGAATCTGTGGTATGACTTAAAGATTGCTGTACACCAGCGGAACCCATCCAACTTGAAGGAGCTGGAGCAGTTTTGCCTTGAAGAATGGTAAAAAATCCCAGTGGCTAGATGTGCCAAGCTTATAGAGACATACCCCAAGAGACTTGCAGCTGTAATTGCTGCAAAAGGTGGCTCTACAAAGTATTGACTTTGGGGGGTGAACAGTTATGCTCGCTCAAGTTTTCTATTTTTTTTTCTTATTTCTTCGTTTCACAATAAAAAATATTTTGCATCTTCAAAGTGGTAGGCATGTTGTGTAAATCAAATGATACAAACCCCCCCAAAATTCATTTTAATTCCAGGTTGTAAGGCAACAAAATAGGAAAAATGCCAAGGGGGGTGAATACTTTCGCAAGCCACCGTATTTGATGGTAACATTTGTTCAGCAAATTTAAACACTGACCACAACATTTACATTTACAACACTTTCCCAATATCATAAAACTGGGAGCTCTCTGTTTGCTTCTCTGATTCTCTATTAAATGGGGCGTGATCGACATCGTCACCTTGACGTTTTACTGCTGTCTTATCACTGTTGGCATCCTAGGAGTTATCAGACACACAAAAGCACACACACACACACTCCTATGATTGAGTTATCAGTCTGGACAACCCAGCGTTGGGACACTGTTTGACTTGGCAATTTGAAGGTATTTCTGAGCAATATAAACCTTAAACCCACAAGACCTTTGGGGTTTAGATCTCATGTTATATGTTTAAGACTGTATGTATCAGTGCAGTCAATAGAGAACATGGTAAATATGTCACAAGCTGGGCTTGAACTCAGGTCTCAGATGTGGAGAGTTGGGTGTTCTACCCCTAAGCCACAGAGGAGGTATAGTAGGACCCAAACGAAACACCCAAGGCAATACTCCAGGCAAAGTAGATTTAATATAAAAAAAGGTATATTTTTGCACTTCAAAAATAATCCAACAAAAGTTCTTCTCAGAAAGAGGTATACTAACAGAGGTACAGTAAACAAAACAGGAGGACTAAACAAAATAACTCCACGAGGGGAGAAAAACAAAATAAAGATAACTTAGAAAAGCTTACTCGGAAAGACTCTGTGGGACACAGCAGGAGACACATAGCCAGGACTCAAAAACCAAGTGAGGAACAAGGGGAAAAAACACAGCTAAAATACTCTAGGGGAAACAAGGCACAGGTGACCTGGATAAAGCTAATAAGGACACACGAGGAAGAACTAAGGCAGAGGGGAACACAGATGACCTCTAGAGGCCCGGAGACAAACAGGAGGCAGGAAGCTGACAGGACCCCCTCCTCTAGGAACGACTCCTGACGTTCCTTCCAGAACACCCTGGCCTCAGGGTGCGAAACTCTCGGATCAAACCTGGGTCCAGGATGTCCTTGGCTGGAACCCAGGAGCGCTCCTCTGGCCCGTAGCCCTCCCAGTCCACCAGATACTGCAGAGAGTTCTGGACCCTCCGGGAGTCCAGTATCCGGCGCACTGTGTAGGCTGGCTGGCCGTCAATGATCCTGGGAGGTGGCGGGGGTCTGCGTGGGGGGGCAAAGGGAGAAGACAAGACAGGTTTTAGTAGTGAAACATGGAAAGTGGGGTTAATTCTAAGGGAGCGAGGGAGAACCAAACGATAAGAAACAGGGTTAACTTTCCTTGCTATGCGGAAAGGGCCGATGTATTTCTGGGAAAGCTTCTTGGATTCGACCCGGAGGGGCAGGTTCTTGGTGGCCAACCAAACTCTCTGACCAGCTCGGAAACTAGGGGCCGTCCGGCGGCGGCGATTAGCCTGACTTTGGTATCTCTGGGAGGTCATAAGGAGGGTACGCCTGGCCTTCTTCCAGGTCCGCCTACAGCGTTGGACAAAGCGCTGGGCCGAGGGAACACCAACTTGCGCCTCTTCCTCTGGAAATAATGGAGGGGTGTATCCGAACTGGCATTCGAAGGGGGACAATCCGGTGGCTGAGGACTGGAGGGTGTTGTGGGCATATTCCGCCCAAATGATATAGGTGGCCCAAGACGTGGGATTACTGGCCGCCATACACCGCAGGGTGGTCTCCAGATCCTGATTAATCCGTTCCGTTTGGCCATTAGACTCTGGATGGAACCCAGACGATAGGCTGGCTGTGGCCCCAATAAGCCTGCAGAAGGCCCCCCAAAACCGGGACGAGAATTGGGGACCTCGGTCGGAGACAACGTCTAGGGGAATTCCAAATATCCGGAAGACATGGTTCATGAGGAGCTCAGCAGTCTCCTTGGCCGAGGGCAGCTTGGGCAGGGGAAT